CCCCCCCCCCCGTCTTAAGGGTCAACGATTAAAAATCCCGAGGATGGATTGTAGTCGCCTTTGAACTGCAAAAGTGGCCTTCCCTACTTTGTTAAACAAAAAAATTGTTGGGAGATTGTTTACTGAATCGTTGTTAATGTTTTACTTTAATTAATTTCTGCGAGATATAACTTACTCAGTTGTTTAATGAATATGTAAATCCGACCCTGAGGTATTCCCTCGCGTACCGAAGTGTGTCTTTCTTTGATATGGAAATAACTAACGAGAAATTTTTATCGATGGATGTGTTATGTAAGACTCTTTATTGCAGGGTTGAATAATTCTTTTTTTAGATAGCACAGACTATCGGTTAATGGCATAAATTAAAAATATTCCCCCAACGTATTTTTACGTACTTGGAAGTAAGAATCGCGTCGTTATATTTATGCGTAGAGCATCAATGAATTTTAATTATATTTTATATATAACACAGCATGAATAAATAATGTTCTTTCAGAAACGCGTTAAAAAAACGTTTACGTTAAAAAAAATTCAGCAGACAGTTTTATATTAAAATTAAGATAAACAACATGTTATAAATAATTGCAACTATGTAAGAAAATGTTTTTTATTAGATTTTTTTTAGAAACGACATTTAGTTCTACTTTTTATCACGATTCTTTTTTATCGTATTTCAGAAAGCTCGGCTTGGACCTGGTGCCACGTCAAGGTGCTCACATGGTAGAGCCGGATACCATGTCTGTCGTGGAATTATATCATGTGGTAATTACGACAATAAAATAGTACATTCTTATCGAATTGATACAGCTTGCGAATATCGTATAACGAGTCAGAATGGAAAAAAAGGAAGGATCAAATGCAATGTGCAATAACGATGAGATATGAGCTTCATTAGAATGCTGGCCACGAAGGCAGCATCATTCAATTTCGCTACGTGCGGCGCGATACAGTTAACTTCTGTTCAACAAATTGGGTTCTCGTAAATACAAGTATAATTCATGATTGACAATTTATCAACGAATAAATTTTGAAAATATTAAACGATCTTCTATCACGAAACATAACGATTCAACAACATTTTTCGATATAATGTCAAGATTATTTTTATTAAATTTTGGTTGATATGAACTAAAATAAATAAATTAAAAAATTAATTAAATACGATTTGATATATTTTTAGTTAATGTCCCCTAATTTTATCTGTCACATCGATAACTGTGACAGATAAAAATTACGGCCCCGACATTGTAGTTACAGAATATGGACCTAAGTCGAAGATCTGAGTCAATTTGTTATAAATAAATATTGTATATGAAAAATATTGTTTGCATGACATTAATTCCGATCTCTTCTCGCGGGGGGTTGCAGCATGTGCAGAGTGCCGAAAATTCTCAGGGTGCATCCGCTCGCGGCACTCTGCGTCGCAAGGAGCACAGAAAAGTCCTTACACATCATCTGTACTTCTGCATGAGAGACTTTGGCCATTCGGTAGGCGAGGATACCGAGATTTACTTCTCTCTGTTCGATGCCAAACGGCAGCAGTACCTGAGCGAGCGCTTCCTGGTGCGCATCAGCAAGGAGGGCTTCTCCAATTATGTGGAGAAGATGCACAGCAATTGCACCATCTTCACAGATCTGGGCAATTCCGATTTGAGCCGCGATCTTTATATGGTAGCCCATGTGATGCGTTGTGGCCGGATGCTATACTCCGATTCCGGGAAAAATAAGACTGGAACTGCGATTTACAGGCGGCCTCATGGGGTGGCGGTTCTTTCTCTGGCGGAAGCCGCTCAAGATCACGCAGAGGAACTCGAGATGAGTTTCAAAGTAAACGGATACAGAATATTAATTAATTAAATATATGTAAATTAGTTAAATGTATTAATTCATGATATCGTGAAAATGTTACTTTAATCCCGATTTAACGTAACTTTTTATATCCTGAATTTCATTAACATACTTTATCGAAAAAAATTAATTGGATTATATTTGAATTGTTTAGTTTCTTTTTATTTTTTTTTTTAATAATATTCAAGAAGAATATGAACGAAACATTTAATTGGAAGGATTTCTACATACCTGCAGGTATATCAAGGGGAGGAGAAGGAATTTCATCAGTTGCACGAACAAATCATACGTAACAACAAGTGCTCTCCTTTACCTGGACAACCTAATTATGGAATAGTTGTGTCTCTTCGTATTCTGCATGGCGAGCTCTCTCAGGTGCGGGAGGAGAATCCGTTGTTATTCAAAAATATTTGCCTCACGAAGAAGCTCGGTTTCTCGGATGTTATTATGCCGGGCGACGTGCGTAACGACCTGTATTTGAAGCTGGAACGGGGTGAATTCGAACGTGGCGGAAAGTCTACCGGCAAGAATATCGAGGTGAGATAAAATTTGTTTAAAAATTATTTCTCTCATCTAATATTCACCTGTTATATAAAATAACAAGCTGTATGTGGAAGTATTTTCACGGAATGAAGAACTAATTTATAATATAAAAAAATGTACAACTATTATATATATAAGTTTAATAAATTGAAATATTACTTAAAATTTATTATTTTATATAAAAAATTAATTTTTTACGGCAATGAAACTGAATATTTTTTAATACGTTTGTTGCAATAAAATTAGGTGACAATCCTAGTCCTAGACGTGGACGGCCAACCCTTGGAAGAGTGCCTGTTTGGAGCCGCGGGAATGGATGGCAGTTCTGAGTATCAGAGTTTGGTCATATATCATCATAACAGCCCATCGTGGGCAGAAACTGTGAGACTGGCGATACCCATCGACAAGTTCTATGGAAGCCACGTGCGTTTTGAGTTTCGACATTGTTCCAGTGAGTCTCAATAGATATTGATCTGGCGCTGATCTTTCACCTTGGCTTAAACGTTCTTCGTTTATCTTTCATCTTTCCACCTATTCTGTCTACGGTCTTCATTTACCTTTTCCAATAAGAAATTTCCTATATTGCAGCACGTGAGAAGAACGACAAAAAACTTTTCGCCTTCGCGTTTGTACGACTGATGGAGCCCGGAGGTGCTACTCTTCAGGATGGCCCGCACGAATTATATATTTACAAATGCGAGGAGCGTACGAAATTGGATTCCTTGAGTTACCTGTCGTTGCCAAGTAGCACGAGAGAGCCGTGCGCCTCAGGTAAATTAAATTTCTTTATAAAATAAAATTTTCTTTGAATAATATTCAATTAAATTTACGTGAATAAAATAAAGAATTAATATAATTCTAAAAATAGATATAATATCTATTATATTATCTACAGATAAACAATATACGCATAAAATTATGTCTTAATAAGTGTTAACGTAAAGTATTTCTGAAAGATAGTATTAAAATTAGACATCATATTTATATTTATAATTATTTTCTTGTTACCTTTCAGGCCCACCAGCTTTCACTAGATCGCCAAAGGAGACTGTATTCGTACATACCTTGCTCTGCAGTACCAAATTAACGCAAAACGTCGATTTACTTAGTTTGCTGCAATGGAAAGCTCACCCTGAGCGAATATCCGAAGCTCTCGGCCGCGTTCTTCGACTGGATGGCGAAGAACTGGTCAAATTCCTACAGGATATTCTTGATGCGCTCTTCGCCATGTTTCACACCGAGGATGGTAATTCCACAGCGCACTCCGGCCTAGTGTTCCAAGTACTCGTGTCTATCTTCAGCTTGTTAGAGGACTCCAAGTTTGAACATTTCAAGCCAGTGATGGATGCTTATATATCAGACCATTTCGCGGCGGCTTTGGTGTACAAAGGTCTTCTCAGCAGCGTGCAACATTGTGCCGATTGGGTAACCGCTGCGGAAAAGCAGGAACCGATCATGAAGTGCTTCCGTTCTCTCGAATATATCTTTAAATTTATCATCCAAAGCCGGCTGCTGTTTGCTGTCGCGACCGCCGGTCAATACGAGGATAGTTTCAAGCGCGATCTATATTGCGTATTCGCAGCTCTCAACAAGATGTTAGGTATTCCCTATGAAATGGTGCTACTATCGCAAATCGCACTACTGTTGTCGATTGCGGCGGTGTTCGAGCAGCTAGTAGCGGTGCTGCCAGTCCTCGAGGTAGCCAAACTTACCTGTACGATGCTAGACTCGGTGCCGCGGGAGCCACCCTTGCAGTTCACGCAGGCCAAGTTAGTTGCTATTAAAAATCTTACTGCATCTAGCTTGTTCCGCAAGGACGACGAGAGTCGAAACATGTTGCTTGTCACTATATGTCGGCACTTACGTATTCATCTGGCGCGTAGGGAAGAATTACGATCCTGTACTGATATCTTGGGTGAAATACTCAGCTTTTTGCATAAGCGTGGCAGGGACACGAATAAAGTCAACAACTGCATACACCACGACGTTGAAACGCTTTGTCTGTCGGTGCTCGATGTGCTCATACAGACGATACTGATCGTGATAAATGCCAATGGACCCGTCCTCGGCTGTCTCGTCGGCTGTCTTATTGGATTACTTCAACTGCTTGATGAGTATCATTATGCGCGACTTTGGGAAGAGTTGACACACGCCGGCGATCGAAAACCACTCAAGGACTTTCTGTTACGGGTATTCCTGGTCCTGCGGGATCTTGTACGCCAGGAGGTATTTCCGCCGGACTGGCTGGTCATTAGGATGCAAGCTAACAACGTCATTCTGAGGTCACTGCAGGAACTCGCGCAGCCGCTTGCGTTCCGCTTCCTTCATGGCAGCTTTGATTCGCAGCTGTGGTCCACATACTTCAATCTTGCGGTGGCTTATCTTACTCAGCCATCGCTTCAGCTCGAGCAGTTCTCCGAAGTCAAGCGAGAAAAGATCGTAGAGAAGTACGGCGACATGAGAGTACTCATGGGTTTTCAGATATTGTCTATGTGGTCGCACTTGGGCGAACGTAAGCTCGAATTCATACCAGGCATGGTAGGACCTTTCCTCGAGGTTACTTTGGTGCCGGAAAGCGAACTTCGCAAAGCAACTCTACATATCTTTTTCGATATGATGGAGTGTGAGCAGCGAGCTCGCGGAAGCTTCAAGTCCGTGGAGTCTGAACTGATCGACAAGCTGGACATTCTTATCAGCGAAAACAAGGGCGATGATGAATATAGGCAATTGTTTAACACTATGTAAGTTTATATTTTATATTTTATAAGTCTTACAAGGTCTTATATTTTTAAAACATCCAAAAACGCAGAGAGAGATTTTAAGAAGATATATTAATTTTCTATCGAAATAAAAATTATTCTCCGCTGTATTACTTTTAAAATACTTTAAATTATATATTTCTAATACACAGCACAATTTTTCACTTTTACCATTATATTTTTATATTATACAAAGAGAATGTCAACTATGTAGCATTTTTCCGTTTGTGATAGTTTCATAAAAATATTATGTGACACTTATCGCATTTACAATTTCATGCCGCTTCAGGGAACATCTTAGCGCTGTGTAAGTGCAATACTTTAAATTGAATGTGATTTTTTTAGTTTCAATATTTGTTAAATTTCTACATTTGTGATTACAGATTACTGGACAGAGTACAATCCGAGGATCCCACGTGGAAAGATAGTGGCACGGCTTTTATAACGTCCGTTACGCGTTTATTGGAAAGGCTTCTTGACTATAGAAGCGTTATTCAGGGTGACGAGAATCGCGACAAGCGCATGTCGTGCACCGTGAATTTATTGGTAAGGTGTTAAAGAAAGATTATCGATACAATAAATCCAATAAGATTTCATTAGTTACTACTTATTAGTAAAAGTGATGTACTGCGGCTAAACCAAGAAATCTGTGGTGCAAATGTGAGACTATATGTACAAATTACTTATAACTTAGCGCGTTAATTAACTGAACTGTGCGACACACGCGCACTGTATATACTCAATAGATATACTATATATTTGGTGTGCTTGGTGACTCTATGCTTGGCAGTTAGCACTCGTGTTCGCGCTCTCCGATGGAAATTTTATCATTGTGCCTGTCTCTCGTTCCTTAAATCATCAATCGTTAGAAGTGAAAAGCTTTCAGAGTGTAACATGGGGATACTTCTGATGTTCTTGCAGAACTTTTACAAGAATGAGTTCAACCGGAAGGAGATGTACTTGCGCTACATTTACAAGCTGCATGATCTACATTTGGCCGCCGAAAATTATACGGAAGCGGGTTTTACGATGAAGTTATATGCCGATCAGCTGGGTTGGGGCTCGACTATTCTGCCATCCGATCACGCTCATCCTCAGCAACCAGAATGGCAGCGCAAAGAGTTACTCTATCATAAAATCATTCATTACCTCGACCGTGGCAAGTGCTGGGAAAAGGGTATACCCTTGTGCAAGGAGCTGGCGATCCTGTACGAGACTAGACTGTACGACTACGCCAAACTTAGTAACGTGTTGAAGCTACAGGCTAAGTTCCTAGATAACATTCTGACGCAACTACGCCCGGAACCGGAATACTTCCGCGTTGGATTTTATGGTCTCAGTTTTCCGCTGTTTGTCAGAGTGAGTTTCATTTATAATCCAAAGATTTTTAGAAATATTCTCTGATGATTTTTAAAAATGATTTTTAAAAATTTTCTCAGTACATAAAATAACTTAAATGTTATAATTCTATTGTATCAAAAATATTTTATCAAAGTTTGATTCGGATTTTAGCATTATTTTATTTTTTGTGAAATAGGCGCCTCGAAAATATTATTTGTGTCTTTTAGAACAAGTTATTTATTTATCGTGGTCTGGAATATGAACGGATAGGGGCGTTCACACAACGGTTGCAAACGGAATTTCCATGCGCACAAATTTTAATGAAGAATTCCCCGCCTGATGAGAGTATCCTTACGTCTGAGGGTCAATGTAAGTGAGATTAGATTTATTAATTTTTTGAATAAATAAATTAAAAGCGAATCAATCTCAATAATTTGGGAATCGATAATTTATTATGAATATATTTTATTTAATAATTGGACACCGCATTTTTGCAGATATCCAAATTTGTAATGTGAAGCCAATTCCCGAAGAGGGTAGCTTGGCTTGCAGCGGTGTCGAAGTTCCGGAACGCGTAGTCGCATTCTATTTGGTGAATGATGTTCGCAAGTTCACGTTCGATCGGCCGCTGCATCGTGGCCCAGTGGATCGCGAGAATGAGTTCAAATCGTTGTGGATTGAGAGGACGATGTTGATGACAGAAGCTAAATTGCCAGGGATCCTCAGATGGTTCGAAGTAATCGAGAAGCGGTCAGAATTGTTGGCACCAGTACAATATGCTTGTGAGACTATGCAAAGCGTGGAAAGAGAATTAAGGCGGTTGGTTGCGCAGTACACTGCGGAGCCACATAGAAATATCAATCCATTCAGCATGCGGCTGCAGGGTATCATCGACGCTAATGTAATGGGCGGTATCACCAAATATCAGGAGGCTTTTCTCACGCCCGAATTTGCCCGACAAAATCCCGAAATGGTACCGCATGTTAATCGATTAAAGGGATTGATACTGGATCAGATGAGCGTGTTAGAATCTGGTCTGGTGTTGCACGGTCAAATTGCACCCACCGGAGTTCAACCGTTGCACAAAAGGCTAATCGAGAGATTCACACAGCTCAAGCAAGGCCTCGGTCCGCTGGCCAGGCAGAGAACTATTCATCAAGATAGCATCGTGAAGTAATTACATTTTATATATTCTTGTACAATTCGTTTCATTGCCTTATATATATTCAAGCTTCCGGGTTAGTTTCATTACAGAGTTAATTATTTTAATGGCTCTTTCTGCTTGTGAGAATATCTGAGAATACCTTTGCTTTTTCAGTTCGCCTCTACCACCTTTGCCGGTCAACGACAAACAGCGTCCAGCCACTTTAGAAACCGCCGGCTCTAGATTGTCGCATGCTGACAGCGATGGTCTTCCCGAGGACGAAGGCTTTTACACGAAAGTGGATGGTATACCACCGCCTATTCCACAACGAGAAGTACGGCCGCGTTCCGTTGGTTATGGCACAACCCCGCCTAGACCCACGCATCAGAGATCTCTCAGTAAGCCGCTGAGTCCAAAATTGCCATTGAGGCATTCCTTGCCTACTCCTACTGACGGCGTGGATCAAAGTGGCCTCAGAAGCTCGTGGAGCGAACCCGGACCCGAACCCGCCCCTCCACTACCACCTAGGGGTTGCAGTAAGTTAATTTCTCTTTTTCTATTTTTCTATTGTTTGTAATAAAATTTAATATAACGTCGAAAATAAATTTTTCATGAAAATCTATCACGCTTTGTGCTTCCTGTTTTAGTGCTAGACAAAAGAGATTCGAATACGAATACTGTAGTACCGCCGGCACCGCCGAAACGCGGTTTAACGCACAAACGCACAAATACAGAATGGAGCACGGACGACGACTCTGAAATCACGGAACCGAGAAACGAACCGAATGATCTGCGCGACAGCGGCATTTCTACAGCCAGTCTGCTAGATTTTCAATCACAGTTGACGAATCTAAATAATCTAAGCTACGAAGACTTCGAGCCACGCTCCCGGTGCAACGACGTCATGAACATTTCACCACCGTCTGTGATAAGTGCACTCAATGTCTCCACTGGCAGCTTCGCCAGCGGTACATTCCAGGGCTCGCATTCTCTCCCTAATCAAGAAGTGAGGAAATATAACTGGAAATATTTACTAACATATACAGTTACATATATAATAAATACATTTCCTTG